AAGGAGCTGGCAGCCCAGCCCAGGGCGCTCCCGGCCAGCCCCGCAGCGGGATGGCGGCCGGTGTCCGGGGAGTGGGGGGAGGCGGGCTCACCAGCAGCCAGAGCAGGAGGAGGCCCCCGTGGGGCACGGGACGGGGCTCCGCTGAGCACCACATGGTTCCGATGCGGCTCAGGCGCCAGCTGCTCCCATGGGCGTCGCGGATGCCGCTGGTGACGGCGAGCGGCGGGTCGGTGCCGAGAGCGGAACTTGCTGCGGCGGGTCGGTGCCCGGGGCAGGGCAGCCCGAGCGCGCGGCCGCCTGGGGAATCCGGCCACGGGGACTAGGTAGATCCTGCTTCCTGGAGCTCAGCCTCCGCGGCGGGAGGAGGAGCCGCTCGGGCGGGGCTGGAGCCTCCGCGAGCAGGTGCAGCAGGAAAGGACGCGCTGGGCTGGGGGGGCCAGGCCCACGTGCTACCCCGGGACAGACATAGACAGACACCACCACCCCCAGTCTTTGCCCTTCCCCTTGGTATAACTTTTTTTGGGGGGCGGGGTGTTAGACCAAGGAAGACAATCCGCTGTTTTTGCTGCTCTCTAACGTTATTTATCTGAGTCTGCGGGTACTGCTGGGTCTCCCCACGCCTGCCTTAGACGCTGGCTTGTGTACAGTGTTCAGTGTGTGTATTGTTTATCCCTCTCTTATGCCACTCTTTGCGGGGGTGGGGAAGTCCGGAGGAGGGGAAAGATAACTGGAAATACACCTTTTAGTTTGGAGGTGGGCTGACAGAAGGGATCATACATTTACATTTACAACAAGAGTATCCAGCATTATAATATTTTGTGCTAACACATTATGGAAGAATGATAAACCCTCATGTTTCAGGGTTTAAACCAATTGCTAACTATTAGGGACCTGGATGACATGAGAACTAATGTCAAGTATCAGGGGGTAGCCGTGTTAGTCTGTATCTACAAAAACAACAAGGAGTCTGGTGGCACCTTAGTCTTTATGAGAACTAATGTGAGAGGCAGATTATTTCAAATCTGTTGCTGTCGGAATTCTTGCACCTCCTTCTGAAGCCTCCGGTGCTGGCCTCTGTCAGGCTGGGTCTACACTACCCGCCTGAATCGGCGGGTAGAAATCGACCTCTCGGGGATCGATTTACCGCGCCCCGATGGGACGCAACAATCGACCCCCGAATCGACGCTCTTACTCCACCAGCGGAGGGGGGAGTAAGCGCCGTCGACGGGAAGCCGCAGAGGTCGATTTTGCCGCCGTCCTCACAGCGGGGTAAGTCGGCTGCGATA